AACCTTCCTTGCTGCTCAAAAGTCTTAACAGAAATCAGTAGGGGGGTCTACTTATCTAAGGCTTTCAAGGATGAGACCCTTAGATTTTAACATCAATTCTGTCTTCTGGCAGATAGTAATAAGAGCTGAATGCAGCCTGGTTACATTTAAAGCCAAGCAGATAAGCCCATACTATTGTCCTGTTGTCTCTTTCCATGTGATTGTACAGGGCCAGGTTTTCTCTTGATTATGTCTGCTTTTAATTGTTTACCACTATCAAAACATTTCTAGGAGCAAGCTCATACTTGATAATATAACTGAAATGATGTAGAACTTTAAAAATATTATCAAAGCACAACATTTTAACTGATAAGGAGCACAGATTCTTCAATTTCTTATTATTTAATTCAGCCATCTGTTGTTTTCTAGATTTGGTAAGACAGGAAGAAGACTAATATATGTTGATCAAAAGACCAAGAAATAACCATATTCTCAGTCTTAAATGTAGTCTCAATTGCTTCTCATGCTAATCACAGTGCAGTAGACAAATACACCCTTTTTCTTTAAAGACGAAAATGCTACAGCCATAGTATTCCTTGATGTATTTATGAAACTGAAGAGATGAAACACAAATCTGGCCAAAAATTGATGGATTTATTTCCAGTCGTTCTGGAAAGTGTTCTGGTTATCTAATTAGCTGATGTTAGTGAAGAAAATATTTGAGACTTTCACCAATCTGCACCTTGAGTTCCTCTTTCACATAATGGCATATTGTAACTGTAAACCATGATAATTTCTACAAAAATAAAGATCAGTTGTCTGTGGGACTGTCTTTTAAGACTTGAGAAAAGTCTGATAATTTTGTCACAAACTGACACAAGCTTATAGAAGGCTGATGGATTTTCATTTAGGTGCTTCGCTTCAGAAACTTGACTACTAAGTTAGTAATACATAGTCCTGTAGAAAGCTTTCATTTTCTTCTTCAACATCTGTTATCTCACATATGAAAATTTAAGTTTTAGAGCAGAAAATATCTAACTCATTCATATTTCTAAAAGCAGAGTGACAGTCTATTGGATATCTTTTCTAATGCAGTTCACAAGGAGCTGCTAACTTCCCTATAGCCTTCTCCCCTGGTCCTTAGAACAGTTAATCTTGTGGCTTGCTTGATATTGCCCAATTTCTGCTTTCTCTAATTTACTCTTTAAAGAATGAAACAGCAGACAGGAAGATCAGCTATGACTTCCAGATGCAGTGTTCTTTCTTCCAGCATCTTCTTGTGGAGTCCCAAAACAGTCCTTGACTTACCTGTACTATAACCCTAGGTATTCACAAGGTCTTACTTTGGCTTTTGGGGTTTTAGCATTTCAGACTGTTTATCTTAGCTCTAAAAAATCCATCCATTTAGGCATCTTCAAAATCAAAATGGGTCATCATTGAGTAGTTTACCCATTGAGATAATTAGCATTTCCGTAAGAAGTCAAGTGGTCTTTCAGAAAAAACAGTGTAGTTCTTCCAATAATTGTATTCAGATAAAAGACAAACTTTTACAATGTCTTTTATGTCTATAAAAGCTTGTATACAAAATCTAAATTTGAGTAAAAATAGTATTATCATCAGCTTTTAAATGATGATTTTTGTATCATAGTGTCATCAACCAGAAAAAAAGATTACTGATTGTTCTGGCATTTAAATGTAACTTTTGCATAATAAATCAACCCATACCTATTTAAATTATATTTATTTTTTTTTGTACTGAAGACAAATCTACTGATTTTGATACAGAAATAGGAGTATGATGAGTACTTTGAAGGTTTCTTATCTTGGAATGAAAATGAATGTGCCTGAATCTAAAAATAAGTAGTCTTTACTATGCTCGAGTTTATGAAAAATACCAACAAAATGATTTATTAAGCTATTTTTATCATCCTGTTTATGATAGTTAAACTAATTTGCTATGCTTTTGATGTTTTTTTAAAGAGTTTATCATATAGCTATAAAAATGATAATGAACTACAAAACAACATGCGAGTTTTCAATTCTAGTCAAAGTGATTATTTTTTAAAGGATTTTTTTCATGCCATTTTCCCCACAACTTTGGTAATGATTCATATAAAATTCTTGCAATTCTTACAGTTTGAAAACAAATCTTACAAAGTAGTATTTCAAGTTAGTAGTATGGTTAATGAAACAAATGCTTAACAAGTGACAATTAACAAATTAAGTGTTGCTACTCAATCAGTTATTAAGGACAATTAGATATATTCATTTTAATTCTGTATTGCATAGTCTGCCATACCTCTAAATCAGATCTTCCAGGCCTTAAGAAACAATTCTTAATTTGTTCTACAGTGTTTTTCTGCCTTGTTATTAGGAAAAAAACCCCGGGTTTCTTAGATAGGTAAACGCCTTCTAATAGTAGATTGGAACTAGTGTCACTTAAACATTTGATCAGGATTAAATAGGTTTCCTTCTCAGAAATTTCATTTAAATAGAATCACAGAATAAGCAGAGTTGGAATGGCTCCGTAAGGATCAAGTCTAGCTCCTGGCCCATGCACAGGACCATCTCCAAGTCACACCACGTGCCTTAGAGCGTTGTCTGAACACTCCTTGAACTGCCAGGCTTGGTGCTGTGACCACTTCCCTGGAGAGCCTCTTCCAGTGCCCAACTGTTGACTGGGTGAGATACTGTTAGTAAGATTGGAATTAGAAGTTTAGGACTTTGTGAAAACATTTACTTGGTAAACTTCAGGATAAATCATGGAATGAAGTTGGGTCACTGGGCTCATTTATGGCTTTGAGTGTGACCCTGCTGTTGTATACAATAGCACAAGCAATTTGATTCTAGAAGGTGGCCAAAGGAAGAATTCTGCCTTGGGTGTTTCAGTATCACTCACCTATAATTTGCTGCTGACCTTTGTTTAGAGATTTGGTCCATGACTGTCTTCCCTTAGGCTTTGAAGAGGAGTGGTTTTATTCCTCAAAATCAAAGACAAAAGCATCCAGGCTTCACCATGGCTACACTTGGTAGTTAACATCAAAGAGAGTCTTTGCGGGTGTGAACTTGCTTTTTATAAAGATCTGGAAGTTACATTGTGCATTGTGCCATATTGCTTGTGTTCTGTTGTGTTGCAGTCAGACCCTTCAATAGTCATATCACAATAGGGATTTGAGTACTTCATCATAGATACTTAAATGAAACCATTAAAGTTTTCCTCCACACTGGCATTTTTTTGGTGGGTGAATATATTAGAAACACTCCATTTAAATCAGATCATTTTTGTCTATAATGTTTTGTTCAGTTTTATGTGTATTCATGGTATATTTATTTTTATTGTAAATCACAAAGGAAAATCAAAGAAAATCCGAAGACATTTAATTTGGTTTTCTGAGCTGGAATAAGACAATGTTCTTTTTCTACAACTGTTTTTCTTGTTGTTTTGAACATATGACAATTTTGTTTACATTAAAGAAAATCAAAAATGCCAAACCAATCAAAGAAATTACCAAGCTTATAATTTTAATAATGACCTGAGCTCAGGACATTAAGTTGGGAATTAATGATCAGTTGAGGTTAATGACTCAATGCCTTGAGTCATTAAATTTCAAGAAAATGCTCTGTACTTTGATTGTTTTTGGTTTATTAAAGTTAGGTTGTAGAAGGTGCCAAAAAAGAAAAAAAAAGAAAGTATTTCCAAACACAATGGAAACTAATATGAATAAAGAACAGAGGTATTTTATTATATGCCTCATTCTGCAGTCCCAGCATAGCTAGAAATGCCATTATTCCTGATTAGAATTTTGTTAGTATGAGGACCTAAGGAGCAAAACTTTTCATACCCACCTTTCTTTTCTTTCTTCCTCTGAAAATAATTAAGAACTTCCACTGTTTGGCAGATCATAGGTTAACACTGCAGTTTTAGAGCAGTACATCACCTTATTCTGTGAAGTTATTCCACAATGTCCCCTAAATGAGCAGTTACAGGACGTTGCAGTGGTACCATGCTATGATCTGTACATAGGAATACAAAGCCTTTGGATATATGTTGTATGAGCAAGTATTTGTATGTAAGATAAGCAATAAGTATTTTCATCGTCATCCGTCTCTAATTTGTGTGCTACTTAGGCAGTCTAGGAGTTGGAAAGTTGTGTATGTGAGCATTCAACAGACAGGGAATGCTTAAACCTGAAGCCCTTTATTTTTCCATATGGGACACATGTAAGCTGCTGTGATGGCTTTTGCTCAACAATATCTTACAAATAATTCCGAGTCCTTTCTGACATAAAGTAGTACATTTAAAGTAAGGTGTCTTAGTGAGATTTTCACTTTAAATAGAATAAGGGTTAAATGATAACTTGACTTATCTTTTAAATGACAAAAAATAAAGAAATTGCAAGACCTTTTCACACATTAGATATGTATTGTCATTTATCATCTAGATATCAGGCTAGCAGTGCGAAGTAATAAAACATATCATCGAAAAATGTGCTATAGGTCTGAATCACTCTTTCATTCCACCTCCCAGCTAACTGTAGTATTAAATCAAACAAGCAGAACATTTCCTTAGGCAGCCATTGCCTTTTAATTTCCTGAAGAACCTTAAAATATCATTCATTACAAGTACTACACATATTTGGTTTTTAAAAGTCTCATAAATCAATAGCAGGCTGACTGTAATAATTATTACAAGTTAGTGCATAATTTTCGTGCTGAAGGCTGCATGCAGAACTTTAGCATATGCAAACGAGGCAATTCAAACTGTGTATAGATATTAATATGAAGAAGCAGGTAACGAGGTGCAGGCTATGAATTATGCATCAAGAGCGGCTGATCTTCAATGAGGAAAATGAATTCAGCATGTAATCTAATTAGTGATGGAAGTCTATTACATCTAACTGCAAAAGCAACCGTCCTTGAAACAAATTTATTTACAGTCCATGTTACCACTTGAAACAACTTTGAAATGATGTGTAAGACAACAGCTTAATTGTAAAAATTTTTTTGTTTGTTTGTTTCAGTTCTAGACCTGGAAGGCCTCCTAAGAGGACTCAAAGTGTCACCTCCCCAGAGAATTCTCATATCATGCCACATTCTGTCCCAGGCCTAATGTCTCCTGGAATCATCCCGCCAACAGGTAGGATCACTAGAAACACCTTCACACGGGCAATTGTTTGAATTCATGGCTTATATCCACTTCTTACTAGATTAACAGTCTAGGAAAGCAGCAGACAAATACCACAACAGTTCCCCTGATGTCACATTGTTGGTACACAAACATGTTCTATGTAATGGAAATTGTGGCAGCTTAGTACTTCAAAATAACTGAACAAATAATAATCCTTTATGATTTTTCCCCCTGTTGTTTTTCTTTATAAACAAAAACCTTTCAAAGCATGAATTACCTATCATTAGACAATAATCTCCCAATTCATTTTTAACAGATCAGATATCTTCTGCTTTTTTTTTGCTGCTTTGCTTCATTAGATAATGTCATCATGAATATAGTTGCCTGAAGAAACTGAGTTAGTTAAAATAACTCCATGCTGCACACATGTCTTTCTTAATTTTTCATCCTGAAATTCTATTTTTGATATGTCTCCTGAGGCTTTACATTAATATAAAGTCCTGTAACAATCTGTTTCTCATACTACTGTTTTCTTTTTAAAGTTACTGTACCATCTCCTAGCAGTGACTTGCTCTTAGACATAGTTAAATTAAGAAAGGCTGTGTTGCAGGGAGGAGATGACCAGTCACCCAAAGATGGAGGCACCCAATAGTCAAGCTGCTGGTGGTGCCGCATTCTCTCTTCATGTTACAGACCAATTAAACTCTGGGACTTGTTTCAGTAAAGTCCACCTGAACTTCTACTTCTTGCTCAGTTATTTCCTGCTTATTTGCATGGCCCAGTCTCTAACACTGATTTTCTTTAAGGAAAGGGAAAAATAATTAACTAGACAGATCAAGCAGAAAGGAAGATTATTTGATCTTGTGGACCAGATGATGGGTGGATGTTTGAGCTCATGCCCATGACCACTTTAAATACAGGCATGATTCTTGGCATGGTTTTCATCACAGATGACTAACATTCTCAAAAGAAATGCTCAGTTCAGGAAACAACAAATACCAGAAACTGTTTGAGTGTAAATATCTTGTCTGGAGGAAGGAGGAAAGTGAAGAAGGCTTAGCTCAGTGGACAAAAAGTGACCTGTACTTTGGCCTTAAGCTCAGGAGCTGCTTTACATGGTGAGACAGACACATAGCTAGAAATTTTTTATTTGAAATTTAAAGATTTTTAAAGATGAAGAGAAGTGACAAAATGAAGGGAGGTCAGACAAAGATTGATAGGCGAGGGGTATAAAATAAGGAAAGAGGGACAAGACTGAGAGTGTAGGGGGATAACTCACAGTGGTAGTCTGGGCAGGTGTGACCAGCAAAAAAAAAAAGAAAAAAAAACAACAACAAACAAACAAACAAACAAAAAAAAAACCCCAAAAAAACCCAAAAAAAGGATTGCAATACTTTAGAATTTACAGGATAAAATCTTGTGTAGAAAATAGAGATTGTGCAGAGTGAATTCAACATGAGAATAGTAGATGGGATGTATGTGGGGAGGGAATGAAAGTTTTTATTGGGCGAAAACATTCATGTTCATGAGGGAGAGATCAAAAATTGCAGGAGCAAAGGGAAATTATTTGGGGGAAGTAAGGCAGGAAAATATCAAAGAAAAAAATGCATGTGAAAAATAGAAAGGAGATGAAAGAAGTCAGAGACAAATAAGCAGGCCAGAAAGTGGGAGACAGGAAAAGAAACCTTGTCAACAGTATCATTCAGGGTTTTGTGTTACAGTTTATATCTAAGAGCAGATCACCTCTTGATTTTTTATTTTAAGAAAGCAGTTTAAAACCACAACTAATGCCTTAAAGTATCCAGTTCCTCTCTAGTCCTTTAAAGCTGGTCATAACAAGTTAACAATAAAAATATATGGTAGTAAAGCCAGAGATCCAATTTCTTAGAGTATCAGCCCACAAAAACAGATGCAAATCTTTTAAAAAAGATGATTGAAAAAAAAAGAAGAAAATAATTCAAAATTAAAGAAAATAGGCATATGTAAGGTTATCATTCATCAAATCCTTTTTGGATGGTAATGCTTTGTGAGACTCTTGCAAAAGAAGAAAGGTTTAAATGCAATTGCTATTACATTTGAACTGGTTTCACATTACATGGCTTACCACAACAGAAGGAGCGGTATGATATTTTTCCCATTGGTGTTGGGTCTCAAACAGCACAAAAAATGCAAACAATAACTCTGATAGAAGAGAGCTCTGGGGTCTAATGTTCCATGAGGTATGCAGAGGTTTAGCAAAGATAAAGAGCATCATGACAGCAGTGCTACATGACAGTCATTCCAGCATTTTATAGACAAATAAGTATAAATATAGACTTACAGTCTGATCTTGTGAGTTCAAAACAATGAAAATTTGTGGGTCTACATTGCAATAAGTACCAAAACTACTGTAAGAGCCCTACAAAGAAAAGACAGTGATAACTGCGGTAGATGATGGAGGTGCCATTGTTATGTGCTCCCACATAAGTTGATAAAAGAAAAATCTTGCCAATTGCAAAATTTTACTCTATATATTGGCTGTATATGGTGAAAACCACTGACTGATTGAGGTTGTCAGGCACCACTGGAGGTCACCTAGTCCAGTGTCCGCTGGTCAAAGATCACTGAGAGCCGGTTGTTCAGGGCTGGGTACGCTTGAGATTCCATGAGTATCTTTGAGGATAGAGACACCACAATGTCTCTTTGCAACTTGTTCCAATGTTTCTCTACTCTCATATTAATACTGAAGTTTTTTTTGTTTTTACTTTTTGGTGGAATTTACTGTATTTCAGTTTGTGTTTGTTGGACCACATTTGAGAAGTCTGGTTCTGTCTCTGTCCTTACCAGGTTTTCATACACATTAGTAAGATACCCTCATGTCTTTTCCAGGCTGAACAGTCCCAGCTCTCTCAGTCTTTCTTGATATGGCAGGAATTCCAAAAGATGGTTTGTAGTTTGAGAAGTTTGTGAAGTGTGAATTTCCTGTTAGTATCCAGCTCTAAGCAGAAAAAAGAAAATTGCCAGATTATTAAGTGCTTCGTACCCCTTCTCTCTCTGTTATTTTTACTTTGTAATAACTTCTTCTTTTTAAACTTTCTGATTGATTTAATAATCTGAGTGTAATAACTAAGTTTCCTTCCTGCCTACAAAAAAGTATGAGTGATCACACAAACAATTATGTGCTATTTAATGCTCTTTAAGTATGGAGGTCTGCAATTATTAGGTACATCTAGGATACACGATGCTACAATTTAATACATGATTTTTACTTGAAAATTTTCCTTTTTTTTCAAATGTGCTGCATAATACAGAAATAGAGATTTAACGGAGGAAATCTTGATTTCTGAAGTGACTGGTTCTGCATACATCATTTATGTGTGCAAATAATGCTGGTATTAAACTGTATGCTGAGATTTGTCATGATATTCCAGGACTGTATATTTTTGTAGGAGGCCAAATTAAGGGACCTTTGAAAATATTTTATATCACTGATATAAACTCTGAAAATGCACGCAGAGAACACTGCATCATCACTTAGAATGAACTTGCTTTATGGAAGTATTTAGGGACTAAGATGAGATGTAGGGTTAGGGTTAGGAAAGGAAAGGAAAATAAGGAAAAGAAAAGAGAAAAAAGGTATAATATTCCACATGTTTTTAATGGACTATAAATTGAAGGAGTGAGGATCACCCCTCAGTTGATATTCTGTGCATTTTATTACAATGAAATGTTACCTCAATTGCTGATCTATCCACTGTCTTTCATTACGGTCAATTTACAGAATGCTCCCAATTTTATAGAAGACTGGTCACTTCATAAAAGATAATCTTATATTTATGAAAATAAATATGTACAACCTTTGAAAGTGTGACAAAATGAGAAATCTGTAATAACAGGAAATGAAGAGCTTCATAAATTGTCCAGAGAATTGAAATCTGCCTATCTTACAAATCATGTAGTCAGAAGAAAGAATTTGATGTAGGCTCAAACAGTTGTACTGACATTTCCAGCTTATCTAGGTAACACCTTGAAATCCTTCCAAAAACATATGGCTCATCATAGTTAACTTTGATCTGCTGTCTCTGTGTACTGCAGATCTTTTAGTGGCTAATGTGCTTCAAAAGTTGTCTCAAGTTGAAGCATGGGATGATTGTAATTGTGATCAATTGGATAAGAAGTGCTGTATGTCCTGAATGTATGATATATCTTGTAGTCTGTACTTTTATGTTTGGAGTAGCTATATAACATCTAAAATGATATTTCCATTGGTTTTCATACAAACATTAAAAAGCAGGTTTTTTTCACTTTTCTAGTTATTTTGGTAATTATTCTTCAGTATTTTAGGTTTTGAAGCTGCTTTTAAAACTCCTTGCTTAATTCTTCTGCAGCTTGGCCTACTGAAAACTACAGGTGACAAAATGAGTAACTGCAATCTCTTGTGCTTATTTCAGGAACTGCATCTTTCAAAGATAAAATGAGAATATAAAGTGCTTTTGGAAATTGCTGACATAGGGCAGGATAAGAATGCTCCTTCATATATTGATATATTTCTATTGTTATATCTTTGTCAATTAAAAAAGTAATTTCAAAGCATGTTTAATTTATTACATTACTTTTACATTAATTTAATCTGAGTAATTATTGCTGCTATTATTATTATTTTGAAAAGGTTTGCTTTATGATGCTGTATAACTATTCCAATCTTAATCCAGACTGTTCCAGTGTAAGGATATTAAGCTTCCTCTAAAATGTTTCATGTGTACAAATTATAACAGCTCTCCTCTATTAAACCATTCTTTTTCTTTTCTTAAGTGGTAATCTGAAGATGTAATTTCTAATCTCATCCTTATTTTCTCTCTTGCTGTGGGCCTGAATCAATATAAGTGTATTCCAGCTTCCATCTTGTACAAAATTCTTTGCACCACAAAGCATTTTTATGGGGAGGTAGAATAAGGAGAGAGTTGAAAGGTTTTTTATGGATTATTTCGACTGGGAGGGCAAGCGTCATTCACAGATACAGCAGTTGATAA